CCAGGCCCTTTCCTGCGCTATTCGTATTTGCCTTGCGCGCCTAATTTCACTCGGCTGAATCACAGACCATCACTCGGTCAATTGATCACGTGACACACCAAACTAAACCAACCAGATAATTTACTTGATGAAAGCAGTTCGCCCCAGGAATCCACGGAGCAACACACCAAAAGCCCAGTTAACCAGCGGGTGCCTACTGGGCTATCCCAATACGCCCTTAGATGACTGTCCGTACATAGACCGCCCAATCTCCGTCACCGCCTGCATCCCAACTGTAAGCTTCCAGCTGGCCCCCCGTTAATTGCTCAGTAAGACCGGAGGCAACGTGCATCCAGCATGTCTGACCATATTAGTATGATATTGCCGCGGCTAGATAGTACATCAAGACTCGGGCTGCTGGTATCCGCGTCTAGGTTGTCGGTATCTGAACCCCCAATACCGCGGGGGTGGGGTTTATAGCTTCGAGCTTAACTAGTGTGTAGCGAAAAGCCATCCTCATCCGCTCAACCATAAGGTGGGTAGTTCAAGCCATCAACAAATCATCATTGTTCCCGTCCGGATATATAGCCGCTCACCACCTAGTCGCGTAATGAGTTACCCCGTCAAGTCCCGGGGGTGCGGCAACCCTCACAGGCCCCCCCCCCCCCCCCCCACGCCGCGTCTATCGATGGATTGATTTAGCGACGAAAGCAGACCCAGCCGGGGGGTGTGGTGTGTGCGGAGCCATTTAGCTTGTAGAGAGGAGTTATGGTTGTAACTGGCCTGGCCTGGGGGGCAGCGGTTCGAGTGATTGTTCATGACCAAGTCTCGACGGCGGGTAGTCTGGCACCAGTTTAAAGACGGGCCATGCAGCCTATAGTTATATATGGTGCCTCTCTCTAGTATCACTGCTAGGGTTAGCAAATCCAATTAGTTTCGGATCCTCTAGCTCTAGAGGTGGACTGCCTTATACCGTCGGGATGACCGTCTTTAAAAGATCAAGATCCGCGGTCGATCTGCCTCTAATGCATGCAGCTGAGTAACTATGTTCGATCGGTGCCCATCAGTGGCCGGCTTCTGCAGGCTTTCACGGCCTGCCGGACTGTATATATTCTAAGCTGTAGCAACGCATATAATCGATGGCGTACCTATGGCCGGGCTCGATTGTCCGCTACCACGAATACCTCAGTCTTAGTCTCGTACCCCATCCCATACTTAGCAGCAAGCTACTTACCCATTATGGTCAGGAACATTATCTTTGCGACAAACGTCGGGAAAGGGCCCCCCCCAACCGCGACACTCTTGTCGGCCGCTGGAATGTGATATCGGGGCTGTGAATTGTGGATGTAGGAGCCCGACTTGTGATATAGAGGTCGACAATGTGATGTAGAAGGCCGATTTGAGCCCCGACAGCCACCCCCGACGTCGATACCCCATACAAAAAGATTCACCCAAGTTGGAAATATATAGCACCGGACCCGTCCGCTGGAAGCATGGAAGCAGACAGATTGGGGGGGGCGAGCCTAGGTAGTGGGGTATATGGACGGACGGCTTGTTGGGACTGGTGGGCAGCTAGCTTGCTGCAAGTATGGTACGGGATGGGGTACGAGACTACGTATACCTGTGTCGTTTACCATCTTCCCCAGCATGCAGTCCTCCAACAAGTTCTGTTTGTGTAGTGGTCTATGCCTCCGGTTTAGGAAACTTATGACGACAGCGGATACCGGGTTCGAATCCCGCTTAGATCCTACACAAACAATTGTTTTTTTTCTTTTCTTTCTCTTTTACCTCAGTTCTATGTATCGTTGAAATGGGGAAGTTCTCTGATATATCAATCCCGCACACCTGTGTAGTGGGCGCCGGGGATTCATAAAAGGAAAAAAATGCGCCGCGAATGCCAACCTATGTCTGTTCTGTCTATGTACCCGGGGGTGCCGGAAAGTGATGCAACGTTTGACTTAGTAACGCCGAAAGCACTCAGAATTTCAACACAATGCTTGAACAGGTTGGATATTTTAGTCATACGCATGATACATGAGTCTAGAATAGAGCCTGCATTCTTTTCAGGTCATTGATTTGGGGTTATTAGCCTGCAAAAGGACAACTCGTGACAAGAGACAGTAATAAAAGGAGAAGTAATAGCTATTCATATTACCTCTTACCAGAGCTATGATCTCCAGCTTCTAAATTATCATAGATTCGCTCCACATTCTGTTAGCTGGTTTGGTTGTTGAGAAATATGGACTATTTGATCGTTGCATCACTTTCCGGCACCCCCGGGTACATGTATGTACGCCCCCCGCCAACAGATACTTCATTTTATATACGCCAGAAAGGAAGACCGACAGACAGCTTGTTGGGACTGGTGGGCAGCTACTTGTAGCTTGGTGCAAGTACGGTACAGATCGAGACGAGACTAGGCTGGTGAGCAGCTTGCTGCTAAGTACAGTACCAGAAATTGGGGTGTATTCGATACCGTAGTGCTACCGCAGTCTGTGTTACAATGCCGCATTGCTAGCAATACGGAGATAATTCAGCATAGTTTTCAATGCAGCATTGTTCATTGGGGTCAGGGTATTTGGTTAACTGCCCGCCATACTAATGTTGTGCCCGCGTCCCGCCCGCCACCTACTAGTACTAGTCCACCCCCACCAGAAAGGTAGCAGTTCAACACCATGTAGGTACATGTATTCGAGCATCACCAGCACCACACATATTTAATCACCACCATAATGATTATGATCTGATTATCACCAGCTATTACACGAACCACTGACAGAACTATGATAGGTCCAGATCCAAGAAAGAGAAAATTATTTTTAAAAAGTATTCCCTAAATCTTTCACCCGATGATAAGAAATTAGAATTGACTGAACTATTGATGAAATAAATTGTGGTGATGATAAATTCCGTGATGCTTCATGATACATTAAACACTGGGAATGTTTTTCTAGGTGTACATCCAAATTTTGCATGTACTTCTAAAAATCAAAGGAATACCATATCAATACCAGCCTGCCACCCGGAGTACCCCACAATGCTGCTGCTTATCCCGAAGTACATGCCTGCCACCCGAAATACCCCGCCAATGCTGTTGCTTATAAGAATACTATAAGAATGCGGCATCCAACCAAATGCGGCAGTGCTATGGTATGAGATACATCCCGTTTTCTGGTACTGTAGGGGATGGGTACGAGACTAGTACGAGACTACGTACGTATACGTGTGCGTACGTTTACGATCTTCCCTAGCACGCAGTTCCTCCAACAAGTTCTGTTTGTGTAGTGGTCTATGCCTCCGGTTTAGGAAACTTATGACGACAGCGGATACCGGGTTCGAATCCCGCTTAGATCCTGCACAAACAATTGTTTTTTTTTTTCTTTTCTTTCTTTTACCTCAGTTCTATTATTGTTGAAATAGGGAAGCTCTCTGATATATTCATCCCGTATACCTGTGTAATGGGCGCTGGGGATTCGTGGAGGGGGGGGGGAGGGGCCGATGTGTGAATGCCAACCTACATATGTCTGTTCTGTCTACGCACATGTACACCCACGGGAAAAAAGTGAGGAAGCAACGCCTGCATTTAACACCAGCCCCAATGACGAGAAGTACTTGAACTATAAAATGAGAAAGAGAGAATATGGTACTGACCCTGAAGTATATTTGACGCCTTGTACGGCCTCCCTTCAAAAGGCATGGTTGATGTTTAACCACGTTTGTGGCCACTCGTTGTTTCGTCACTTTTTTCCTATGGGTGTATATGTATATACGCCAGAAAGGAAGACCGATAGATGGCTTGTTGGGACGCTAGCAGTACGGTACGGGATGGGGTACAAGACTACGTATACGTGTGTCGTTTACCATCTTCCCCAGCATGCGGTCCTCCAACAAGTTCTGTTTGTGTAGTGGTCTATGCCTCCGGTTTAGGAAACTTATGACGACAGCGGATACCGGGTTCGAATCCCGCTTAGATCCTGCACAAACAATTGTTTTTTTTCTCTTTTCTTTCTTTTACCTCAGTTCTATTATTGTTGAAATAGGGAAGCTCTCTGATATATCCATCCCGTACACCTGTGTAGTGGGCGCCGGGGATTCGGGGGGGGGGGGAGGGGCCGACGTGTGAATGCCAACCTACATATGTCTGTTCTGTCTACGCACATGTACACCCACGGGAAGAAAGTGAGGAAGCAATGCCTGCATTTAACACCAGCCCCAATAACGAGAAGTACTTGAACTATAAAATGAGAAAGAGAGTATATGGTACTGACCCTGAAGTATATTTGACGCCTTGTACGGCCTCCCTTCAAAAGGCATGGTTGATGTTTAACCACGTTTGTGGCCACTCGTTGTTTCGTCACTTTTTTCCTATGGGTGTATATGAGACTACGTATACGTGTGTCGTTTACCATCTTCCCCAGCATGCAGACCTCCAACAAGTTCTGTTTGTGTAGTGGTCTATGCCTCCGGTTTAGGAAACTTATGGCGACAGCGGATACCGGGTTCGAATCCCGCTTAGATCCTGCACAAACAATTGTTTTTTTTCTCTTTTGTTTTACCTCAGTGATCTCGCACACACCCTACCTGTGTAGCTTGCTTACAAAAACTACATGTGTTTATGTACGTACGCACGCATAACGAACGTTGCTCAGCGCCTGGTGGTAGTGGTGGTGGTGGTGGTGGTGGTGGGTGCGCTTTTATTCATACGTACGGCGCAGAGCTACATGTAGTAGATTGATCTTCATTCTGCCCCCCCCCCCCCGGGGGGGCCCCGTAGGGCATTATTGCGTAAGCTAGCAGGCCCATTCTCCTACTATACAATACTACGGACCAGAGCTATCTATACGGGATTCCCTGTATCCATCCATCCATCCACCCACGCAAAACCAAAACAAAACCAAACAAAAAAGAACAAAAAAAAAAAAAAAGAAAAAAAAAACCATCCACCAATCACAGCCCATCACTCGCCCCCACCAAAAAACCAAAACCCGTCACCACAATCATTACCACCCACCCACTAAATTTTAACTCTTTCCAAACGCCAGTCTCCTCTGCCCCTTCTCGAGGCCGCCGCCGCCGCCGCCTCCTTTCTTCTTCTTCGGGCCCTTCTTGCTCGGCGGCGGCGGCGGCGGAGGAGGAGGAGGCGGTGGTAGTGAGGCGCGGGAAGCCTTGTCCTGCGCGGCGAGGGCCTTTGCAAAGTGCCAGTCCTCGTGCTCGGCCTGCTCCTGCAGGGGGATGGGGGTGGGGGTGGTGCAGTGCGGGCAGGTGTAGGTGTAGGTCTCTTCCGGCGGTGACGGTGGCGGGGGTGCGGTAGGAGGCGGGAGTGCGGGTGGTGCCTGGTCATTACTTGAGGATCCGGGTCCTACGCGGGGAGCGGGCGGGGGCGATAGCTGCGGCACCGCCAAAGCTTCCTCTTCAAGCCCCCCCTCCCCTTCCACCTCCTCCTCCCCCCTCCTCCTCTTCGCCCCCCTCTCCCCCCCCACCGCCTCCGCCACCCTCTTCACCAAAAACCCCGCAATACCTCTATTCCCCCCCTCCCGCTCCTCGAACCCCCCCACCTGCACACTCAACCCCGCACACGGCAACGCCCCCCCCTCCGCCACCACCCCCCTCCACAACCCCTCCGCCACGCCCAGCAGCCCCTCCGCGCCCACCTCCCTCGCCGGCACCGCCCCCTGCCGCGTCTTCCCCACCACCCCCACTCCACGGTGCATCACCGTCATGACCGTCGGGCGCCGCCCCTCCTCGTCCACAAGGCGTGCATGAATGTCGGCCACAAACACGCGCAGCCACAGACGCGCCTGCTCTGCGCTCGCGAGGGGCGGGCGGAACGACTTTGCGGAGAGCATGGACTTGAGCGCGGTGCGCGGGTTGACGTCGGAGCGGTCGATGCCGCGCAGGGTGTTGTGGAGCCAGGTTGCGTCGTCGGGTGGGAGCTTTGCGGCGAGGGCGCTGAGTGGCAGGGCGGAGAGGGCGGAGAGGGAGGAGGTGTGGAAGGCGGTGGAGATGTGCGTGCCGAGTTTGCCGCCGAGGTTGCGGACTGGTGGGGTGTTAGCGGTGGTCATGAGGGGGGGAGAAGAGGGGGGAGGGAGGGGTACTTTTTGTGAACTCGAGGGTGTTGAGGAACTTTTGGGCTGCGCCGGGGCGGACTACGGTCTATATGAGTATATATAATTAGTTATTGGCTCCACGGTTATAACAATGACGGCCCCGGGGGGTGGAGGGGGAGGATAACAACCTGCGAGTTTGGCTTTTTATACCCGCTCCCCAACTTGGCCAACATCTTATTCCCCGCAATCCCCGCCGAGCACGTATACCCAATCTCCACCCGAACCCTCTCCCTCACCCGCGCCACCATCTCCGCCGCCACCCCCATCACCACATCATCCCAATCCACCCCCTCCCCCCCCCCCCTCCTCCTCCTTCTCCTTCTCCAACACACACGACCCCGCCCACCCCACCTCCACCTCCCCCCCGGGCAGCGGCAGCCTCTCCCACGCCTCCGCCTCCGCCGCCCGCGCCAGCGCCGGCCACCGCCGCACAAGCTCGCCATGCACCATCGCCGACAGGTCCAGGAACGACTCGTCGATGCTCGCCTTCTCGACGCGCGGGCACGCGCTGCGGAACAGCGCCAGGATCTTCTTGCTCTCGGCTCGGTACGGGTCCAGGCAGGCTTTGTGCGTGGCGATGCTGGGCGTGTCGTGGTAGGCCCAGTGCATGTCGCCCGCGCGCCAGGTGGCCACGTGCACGAGGCGCAGCTGCGGGCAGCGCTTGAGTGCGTCGGTGGCGGTCTCGTGGCGCGTGACGGAGTGGGCGCGCGCGGCGTAGTTGACGGCTATGAGGTCTGGGGGGCGGGGGGCGGGGGGGGTTAGAAGGTGTGTGTGGGAGCGGGGGCGGGGGGAGGGGGGAGGGGGGAGGGGGGAGGGGCGGTACTTTGCCATTGTTGGACGGCGAGGGGCTCGTCGGCGGGGAGGGAGAGGCGCTTGGTCTCGACTTGGGCCTAGCTGGGCGGTGAGTAGGGGGTTCGATCCGGGCGGGGAGGGAGGGAGGGCTTACGTAGAAGGCGTCGAGGTCTCTGTGCGGCGGCTGGGTGTTAACAAGCCATGATTAAGACTCACAGAGAAGCACACAATATGACAATACGGCAATATGACCGGACATGACATGAAGCACAGCAGCAGCGCAGAGGGAATCAACACTCACATGTGCGCAATGACACGCAGCGGCGTGTCGACCGAGTACTTTGCCAGCTGCGCGAGCTGGCGGTACGTGAACTTTGAGATTCTCTTCTTCGGCTTGTCCCCTCCAGCTCTACTTCCACTTCCACTTCCACTTCCACTTCCACGTCCACTTCCACTTCCACTTCCACTTCCACGCTCCCAGGGCGGTCTTTTCGTGTTGCCGGGCATAGCTAACGGTTAATCCGTGTGCTGTGGTTGACGCGTCAAGTGCGAACTTGGCGGGGAAGACGCGTTGGGTGCTGACGGGAGGACAGGGATGTGGCAGCAGTGCTCCTAGAGTAGACTAGTGCATACATGATGCATAACAGCGCTGTTTGTGGCATTCACCGGGGGCCGTGCCTGGGAAGAAGCGAGATTGTCGTATATAGCTGCTGCTAATATGAGGACCGGTGCTACCTGGCAGAGCAATAACAGAAATATATACATGTAGTCTATAGGACTCGGATTGATGCCGTCACTGGCCGTGCCAAGACATTGAAGCCTAATCCCCACTACAGACGAGCCTCTACTCTCACCTCCAACTACATGTACTCATAACCCACATACAACCTCCGCAATTAACTAACCACCATGAACCTCTCCGCCTTCCCGCACCTCACCTCCACCGAGTTCACCGCCGCCTGCACCGCCCTCCACGCCTCCCTGCCGCCCGCCACCTGCACGCTCACCCACCACCCCACCACCCTAACCTTCCACCGCCCACTCCCCACCAACTCCTCCACCCCCGACACCTCCACTCCATCCACCCCCACCACCCCCACCACCCCCGAGCCCCCCGACCCCGAATCCCTCCCGCCGCCCCCCGCCCCCGCCCCCGGCCCCACAATAACCTACCAACTCCAACACTCGCCCACCTACAACGTCCCCGTCCTCTACTTCCAACCGCACACACCGCACCCGCTCTCCCTCGCCGCCATCTACGAGCGCATCGTGCCCACGTCGTCCGCCGAGGCGCTGCGCCGCGTCGGCGTGCTCGGCGCCGTCTCGCAGGCCGACAACCCCGCCGACGGCGAGGTGTGGTGGTTCGTGCATCCGTGCAGCACGGCGGAGGCCATGGGGGAGCTGCGGGGGCTCTGGGGGGACGGCGTGGGGATGGGCGCGGAGGAGTGGTATGTTAGGGTGTGGGTGGGGCTTGTGGGCGGCGTGGTGGGGCTGAGGTTGGAGGGGGTGGGGCTGGAGACGGGGAGGGGGGCGGGGACGGGGACGGGGACGGGGGTGGAGGCGGAGGCGGAGGGGGTGTAGGTGGTAATGGGGGTTGGTCATTGACGGTGGGCTGGAGGTGGTTGGCGTGCCGTGATCATTGATACCCGCCTGCCCGTCATACATGTACCTACCTGCCTGCCTGTCAATGATACTGTATCATAGAGTAGCCTACATCATGTAGCCTAGACATCCCCCCCCTACCCTGCCCTACATGTACCTAATCCACCACTTTCCTGTCAATCACAAACTATCACCCGGTGCACTCTCTGTCTCTATTCTCACCCAGTCTACTTGACTCTCTCACCCACCCCGGCCACAACGCCCTACCTAATCCGGCCCACTCCAGTCCTGTCAATCACAAACTATCACCCGGCCTACCCACTCTCTTCTCCGCCCGCCATATCCATGCCAATGAGCAGGCGAAAATGCTGACCCACCAAAAAAAAAGAAAAAAAGCAAATTTGGTGTACCCGGGGGGTCCCTAAAAGTGATGCAACATCTGACATAACAACGCCAAAAGGCACCCGGACCCCCAACACCTCAACACAAAACAACGACTGAATAAGATAGATATTCTGATCACACGCATGACACAGGGGTCTCTAGGATAGAATCTGCATTTTGTTTTAAGTCGTTACTTTGCCTACAAAAAGGGACAACTTCCGACCAACAAAGGTGATAAAAGGACAAGCAACAGCTATATTCATAATATCTCTTGCCAAACCTATGATCCCCACCTTGTAAATTATCATGTATCCACTTCGCATCCTGGCTAGTTTCGTTGTTGAAAAATATGGATTATATGATCGTTGCATCACTTATAGGGACCCCCGGGTACATGTGGCTTTACTGACAGATCTCGTTATCTCTCTTATCAAATAATAGATCTCTCATATAAAATCTAATTAAATTCCTCTGTTATTAAAAGGGGGGGGGGGGGTCAGCATATATCGACATCTTAAGGGATAGCTATAGTACCCTACTCTATATAGAAGCTAGCCCTCGCACTCATTTGTCAATCACCAACTCTCACCCGGCTTACTTACTCTCACCCGGCCTACCCTACTTTTGCACTCCCACCCGGCCCATTTTCGCCCCGGCCAATTGCAACCACCTCCTTGACTCACTGCACTGCACCCTTCTAGAAGGTGGCCATATTGGGTGCGCACCGCCTGCGTGACGTAAAGCTAGAATACGGGAATAGTAATCCCTCAGTTTTTAATTTTGTTGCACTTTAATTGGGAGGGGGGGGGGGGATTTGCTACTGCACCTTTCGGGCTGCACTTTTCGGGCTGCTGGCTGCGGGGTTTTCTGGGTTGGTTGGGTTGGGGCCCTGGGTGGGCGGTGATTACATACGTACATGGAATGAATGGGTTCTTCAACTGGCCTGGCCTGGCCTGGTCTGGTGGTGGTGAGGGGAGGGGGGGGGAGTTGGCCTGCCGGCGTAAAACCGTCAAATCTCTGCAGACGACGCTTGACCAGACCATGAACGAGATCTACACCAGTGTCACGCTGAAGGAGGACTGAAAGAGCAGGGAGAGCTTCTCCTGGTTCCTGCCAGTCTGGGCGGAGCAGAAAGGAGGTTCACGGGGCCGGTTGATTTGGGGGTGGGTTTCGTGGCCTTGGATGGGGGGATGAAGGAAGGAATGGGGTGTAGATGGGCCGGGGGTTTGGGCCGGTCTTGCAGTTGGATGGGTAGGTTAGGTGGATGGGTAGGTTAGGTGGAGGTTGGGTGGTTGTGTTCTTTCTGGTGATTGTGTGTTGTTCTTTCTGGTAATTACATGTTGTTCTTCGGCCTGGTGGTTGAGGTCTTCCTGATAAATATGGCCACGAATCTGATAATTACGTCTAATTTGACAAGAACAGCTAGCTTTATCCTGATAATTATGTGTTCTCCGCTCCCTCTGCAGGACGAATATTACACAGCTTTATCCTGATAATTTTACTCCTCGCGTGATCATTAACATTATAATTACATATCCAGATGATCTGATAATTACGTCTACTCCCTCGATCCACTCCCCGATGATTAATTATTATAATATTATCCTGATAATGACATTCTTCCTGATAATTACTCGCCCATTAATTAAGTCCTGAGAATTCTTGGTAGCAACGACCTCACAAAATTTCCCAGGACTTAATCAACGCGCGAGTACATTATTCCTGATAATTAAGTTTGTGCACTTCTCCGCTCTTATTACTCACCGAGACGGTTATAACTCTTCCTGGTAATTGCACATGTCCGACCTGTACTCCACTCCAGATCTCGATCTCACACTTACATGTAATACCCCGAGAATTGCCATTCTCCCTGATAATTAAGCTTATTTCCTGATAATCTCGCGCGTTCTCCGCTATAGATCTCACTGAGTAACTCTAACTTTATCCTGCTAATATAATTGACGATCATTTCATTATTTTTTTTACTAGCTAGTAGTTATAATTCATCCTGATAATTATATTTACCCAGCTAATTGCATTCATCCTACTAACCTTTACCCTACTACATGTATGTAATCACCAACCACACACCCCCGCGCCGCCAGGGCCGCCACAACCCCGAACCCGGAACCCAGCAGGCGGTGCACGAGGGAGTGACTCAACATCCCTACCCTGCCCACCTGCCCTGCGTAATCCCAAAGCCAATACGAACGATCGAACCCGCGCGATACGAACCTCCCCATCAAGAGTCACGTACCTACTCTACCTGAGCCGACTTTTTTTCGAGGCTGTCACTTTCCCCCCAAACCCCCAAAACCCGAAACCCGCAGCACCGGAACAGAAGTGCGGAAATTTTCAAGCCTCCTCTAATTCAAGATCCCGTCGCAGACTCGAACTCGCAAAACAAAAACGGAAATAAAAAACCTCAACCTCACCTCAGCAGGCAGTAGAGTGCCAAGACCTTCTAAAGCCTTAAGATTGCGCCAAGGAAGAAGCTTAATTCGTGGTTTGTTCGCTAAGGCTAGGACCTTCGTTCCAACCAACTGCTAGCGCGCTAGTCACTCAAGAGTACGACAGACGGTCTGCCTGCTGCTATTGTACGCAAGTGGGTGCAATATCTGTGTCTCACCTAACCTAACCCGATAGTCTGGGTCCGGAGTTTCGTCATGCCGCGCCCCTACCCTCTTTTCTGTTTATCTGTCTCTGTTTAATAAATCTCGGCTGACAGCAAGAGTGCGCGAGTGAGTGAATGAATGGTTGGAATGGTACAATAGAGTCCCGTACCTATGTACCGTATCGTAAATGAAAAAAAAAGGGACCGACCCTGAACTCCGCTGCTGAGGTGTACGTACTCCAGCAATTTGTGGGTTGGGGGTGGTCAAGCAATTTAACGGTAGGATTGGGATTTGGGGGCCGGCAGCGGAACTCCTTGCCCTAGAGCACCTAGAAGGAATGAAGAGGGAAGGGGTTGGTACCAGGCAGGTCGGGTGGTCAAAGCTAGCATGCCGAGAGATCTCTCTTGCTTGTTTCGTTCGGCTATTGTGGCTTGGCGGGGGCCCAGTGCTGAGTGGACGAGGTGAATACGGGCCGATGGGCGACTGTTGGCTGTCGAGGAAATTGGAGGAGTGAGGGATGGATTGGGGGGAGGGATCTGATAAGATGCAAAGTGCAAAACAAGACAGACGTCAGAATTAGCAGACAAAGATAGATATTACGATGACTACAACTAACAGCTCGAGGTTAAACAGCAGCCCGAAGCGTCGTATCCTACATGTGAGTAAGTCTCCAAATGACTCCTCGATATGTCTCTCCCTCTCTCAGAATCTAGCTCTGTGCAGAGTCTGTCTGGTCTTCTCTGTCTCGCTCGTCCGCCGGGTGGGCTCGCCGGCGGCCGGTACTGTGGCGGGTCAAATCGGGTTCTTTTGCTATTCTACGGTTTTTTTTCCTTTTTCCCGCGTTCCATCGATGACTACAACCGTCCTATATGTGGGTGCTTGCTATTGCATTGACATACACTGGGCCTCTGTCTGTTTCTGGGAATTTTTATCTCAGACTGTAGACGGAGGGCGATGCACAAGGTGCTGCATTTTGTGAGTCAAGATTCCGTCGAGGCAGCTCAGGTAGAACAGAGCGGAGAGGCGAACCAACCTACCTACTCGACGTAACGGACCAGGCCACCGGGTGGAAGGGCGAGTGCAGTGAGAGAGCCCACCACCACTACAATTGCCTGTCGGGTTAGTAGTGCGCGCGTGTTGTGCGTGTGTGCGCTTCTTTCTTTGTTCAGATCTTCAGATCCATCAACGGTCTAATACATCCAAAACTCCCATCGGCGACGCCGGAACTCCGGGTTCTGCTCTAACTAACTAGATCCAACCATCAAGGCTTAATTCCTTCGGTAAATCCGTCAAACAGGGGTAGTAATTAAAATTTTAGAGTTTGCACGCGCGGGAAAGCAGAATTAAGAAGAGTGGGAGGCATGGGAGACCGGGAGATTTTTCTTCCGGGGGAGTGCTTGGCGGGTGGCAGCCAAACAAGCACCTGCAACTGCAATTGTCATATTTGGCGGGCGAAAGAAGCTCCGACATGGCCTTGGCTGAGACGGATTTTTTTCTTTCGCTTAGACTTCCATTTATCGAGGCTTTGTGAGAGAGGGGGGGGGGGGTGCCTGGCATACTCTATCTGGAGTTTCCTAGTTTGTAGAAAAAACTGGAAAATGCACAGGGATCTGGGTGATCCTGCTGCTGGTTGAGAGTAGAGTAGGGGCATGGCGTGTGGGTGGCTGATTGCCTTCATTACACAAAATTGTCTATAGCCGGGGGAGGGAGGAGGGAGAGAGGAGGGAGTGCAGGAGAAAAAGAGACAGATAAATATCTACCATCGTGCCCCCCCCTCCAACGTGTGCTTTTCCGTATCACCAGCATTACTCTTCAACATCAGGCATAGCTAGCTACATCTTGGTAGCCTTTCCCTGGTCGTATATAGATACGTTACAATCACCAGTAGTCACCCGTCGACTTCAGACTGCGATTACTATACTACTACTATCACCCACTGCATCAGCAAACAGCACAAACTACACAGCCTAACCCATCACT